CGCTTTCTTTATTGTTTAAATGTAAAATGGATTAAACAAAAAGTTACTAGATTTTGGCGAGTCGTAGATTAATTACATCATGTTATTATGTCAGGGGGCAGTTATTAAAATAATTTTGAATTTGTCAATTTTTTAAAAATTTGTATATTTTGATATTTCAAAAGTTTTTATAAGTATTCAAAAAAATGGCGAAACGATTTAGTGATCAATCAAAAACTTTAATCCTAACCGTAGTTTACTATTTTAAGAGACACAAATCTATTTACGAGGCTCTTGGAAAGAGGTACAATCAAATGGCTGGAGTGGCATTAAATATTTCGCAGAAGAAGTATTTCAGACTTGGTCAGATGTTTTGAATAATGTTACCAATACTCAGTGGGACAATTATGTAAGATACTAATACAAGCAATTAGATGTTTCTATTCTGATCTAAAACCAATTACACTCTGCACAAAAATTAGCGCATCACTAAGTGGCAAAAAGTTTTTCTTTATTTGATTTTTCGATATATTTAAGTATTGGGACACCCTGTATATTAGTTTTGGATACTTACATGCAAAAAAGGATGAGTTTTTTTATGTGTAAATGTTTTTGTAAAATAAATACTAATACTTTGAAATTGCAACCAACTTTCGCGATTAGTTGCTTTCAATATTTAGTAAAGTTAACTTGGTTTTTATGGTATTTAATTTTGAAAATCATTGAAATGAATAATCCTTGACCGCCAGAGAAGAAATTTGGGACATGACGAAGTAGTTAGAATCATTACATTACTTGAAGAAGGACGTAGTCAACGTTACATTGCAAATGCTTTTGATGTTCAACAATTAACAATTTCCAGGGTGGCTGCCCGGTTTAGAGAAACAGGGTAATACGACAGGGGTAGTATTCTCGAATCACGAATACCGACATTCGCATACGTGTTTTACAATGTGTCTCACTTTGTTGAACGAAAACCAAGTGAGACAAATCATAAATCTCGCATGCGAATCTATATTCGTGACTCGAGAATACTACCCCAGGGGGTTAAATTTTGAAACCATTCGCTAAAAGTAGTATGCGTCAATTGGCGCATGACATTTATAGCAAGGAAGGTATATTTTTGAATGCTCTTCGATAAATATTTTGCGAATAGATCAACCTAACGAAGAGTTGTAGATTATTTCAGCAAAATTCGATAATCTACCAATAAATCTAGTATGAAACTGCTTTACCGAGATGGATAAACGTCATGTCGTTGCAAAACCTATTCGCTCCGTGCGTGGCAGCAGCGCCAATTCATTTTAGGTACTAATGGACTATTTCTGTGTATACTGACAAATACAATTTATAATAGAATTCGTAATTAAAAAGTATATATGTTAGTTTTAATAAAAGTAAAACATTAATTTATTATTATATATTTTGATCTTAAATTAAATAAAATTTAGTATAATCAATAAAAATCGATAATAAAATATAGACAGGCAACAGTATTTACAGGAAAATGTATAAGAAGTTGCCTAAATCTAAATCTAATGAGTAGTCTTTGAAGGATTAACCTAATCTGTCAAAATAAAAAAATACCATTATAGCGTGAAGTTAAAGTATAAACAGAAGGATTGTTATTTATATTTTCATTTTTGTTCAAAAGAAAACATAGAATGAATAATTAAAACTGGTTTTCTATCACTAAGTCCAAAAATTGCATTCCAGCCACACACAATAATCAGAGGTAGAAATCTTGAATTCTAGTCCTTGCTGAATGAATATATTTAAGAATAAAGGGATGTTGAAGAACATCGTAAAATGATAATTCATTGTTTATTTAAAACCTTTCAAGTTTCTGATGTCTACTATTTCCAGTATTACTGTTATTACTACAAAAATAAAGGTAATTTTTCTTCTTATTGTACACCTATCCATTTATTTCTTTAATTCAATTTCCACTTTGCTACTGAACATTTTTATAATTTACACTGTTTTTTTTTTTGCTAGTATTGTTACAATTTTCAACACAGCAACTCCGGTTGTTTATTGTATTATTTTTACCTACTTTTTTGGAAAAAAAGTAAAATGTATACGTGTATTTGATATGCCAAAATTACAAAATATCGCCCTAAAATGCACGAATTATCCGCAGCTAGCGCTGGTATCGTTTTGGCTTCCCCTACCATGACTTCGCACGGATCGAATTAAATGTCTATTCGCAAGTGATTCAGTTTCGCATGCGAAAACGAATCGATTAAGTCAAAAATACAGTTTTGGTAAAAGTATACGTTTTCGCATACGTCAGGGTGGCGAATGATTTCAAAAATTAACCCCCAGAGGGCCTGGCCAAGGTCGTCCAAGTCCAAGGGTTACCACAGCATACACCCGATTTTTAACATTAACAGCTCTTCGAACTAGACACTGTACAGCGCGAATGCTCCAAAACGAACTAGCCGTTGCCCGCAACACAAGACTGTCTGTGCAAACAATAAGAAATCGTCTTCGGCAAGGAGGAATTAGAGCCAGGGTGGCCATCTTGTTTCCTCGCCTTACCAGGGAGCATCGTGTTGCACGGTTGGAGTTTGCCAAAAATCATGTGAATTAGGATATAGACGATTGGTCCAATGTTCTGTTTTCTGATGAATCTAGATTCAGCCTGTTTTCATCTGATCGACGAATTCCAGTCTACAGGCGTGATGTCGAACGATAATTTCAGTGTAACATCAGAGAAACGGAACCTTTTGGTGGTGGCTCTGTTATGATGTGGGGAGGAATTTCTTTTGCGGCTCGTACAAAGTTAGTACCAGTTATGGGAGGAAATTTAACAGCTGCAAGATATGTAACGGACATTCTTGAACCCTATGTTGTACCTTACGGTCCATTCATTGGTGACAATTTTGTTATTATGCAAGACAGCGCTCGACCGCACACAGCTTTAATTGTTCGTTAGTACATTAACGAAGTTGGTATTCCCACATTGGATTGGTAAGCTCGAAGTCCTGATTTAAATCCAATAGATGCGATTCGTGTGTAATTTGATATATCAGAAACTTTACCAGCATTGAAAACGGGACAGATTCTAGATATTTTCCAAATGTCTGGATAGGCCGCTTATTGTAGTATAAGGTTAATTTATTTTTTAATTTATTAACTGCGTTGTTAATTTGATCTTGAGATATGTAACTAATATTAAGGAAATTACTAGGAATTGTATCAACATCATGAAGTATATCATTATCAGATCCATCACTAAACACGCTACCAAAGTGCCTGCAAAAGCATTCATTCACAATAGATTGGGGAGTGGTTAGGGTTTCTTTACTGTATGACATTTTCCCGGGAATCCTAGTTTTATTTTGTTTGGATTGTATATATGACCAAAAACGTCGGAGATTTAGTTTAACGTTATTTTCTGAATTTTGAATGAATCTATTATAACAGCTAGTTAGGTAATATCACGTTTTACAATTAGTCTTAGGTTTTTATAACGTTGTAGATAAAATAGAAATTTATGTTTTTTATAAAGTTTTAGAAAGTGTTTTTTTAAGCTGGTGTAAATCATTGCAAGAAACGAATGATGACTCAGAGTGTACGATCTGATAGTTACAGTCGCGTTACACCAGAAAGCAGCACTTAACCAGGCGTTTTAGCCACTAATTTCGGCGAATTTTAAAAAATCATTAACAATAGATTAAGAGCTTAAATTTGGGGATTATATTAAGAATACTGCTGTTGAGGAATGCATTTATTTACATTATGATATTTCAAAATTTAAAGCCCTTTGATTTTTTTTCTTGGAAACTAAAAATAATTAAAACTTTAAAATATAAGCATATTCTAGATATTATTGCCTAATTTATTTTACCAAAATTTTAACTTAAAAAAAAAATTACTTTTTGAGATATGCTTGTTCGAAAATTATAAGGGGGTGTTGTACTCACCTTAAATCGCGAGAATACCAGATTGGATATTTTCTAGTTTTAGTTGACTTTAGCGGAACACACTGAACAATAAGGGTCTGGATAATTTCATTAAATTTATTACATGCCGAGTTCACATCAGGATGATGATTAGGCTATTCCCACTGTATATTATTTAACATGTTAGTAAATTTTTGGTTTTCCATTTTCCCAAATTTGTAACGTTTTTTATTAGTAATAAATAATTTTTCATTATCACAATTATTTATCTCCAAATTCACAATTAGGATTGTGGTTGTCAATTGTTAACAGGGGATGTAGGTTTTGAAAAACCTCACAAACTAGATTTTCAGGGCAAAGAACCAAGTCCAGTATTCTATTGTTATAGTTTTTTACAAAATTATTCTGCTTCAGGTTACATAAGTTAATTAATGAGTTATATCGAGAAACTAGGTTTATAATTTGATGAAATTTATAATGATTTATCAGATCAGTTATATTGAAATCACCTAAGATTATTGAATTACCAATTTGATAAAAATTTTCAAAAAAATCAAACAATACATCATACTCTTCAAAACTAGTAGCTGGTGGTATACCGGGTGTTCTAAATTAGAGCGTTACAGCTATATACCGCTTTTTATAAAAAAAGCGTTTCAGACCAAAGTTTTATAGTTTTGTAGGGAAAAACTTTTGGCTAAAATCGTTTTTTATAGCTAACCATACTTTTTTTTCGCGCAACAACATTTTCAAGTAGCTGTTACTCAAAAGTAAAAGTCCAATAAAAAAATATTTCCCTCAAAAGTTTCTTATTTTTTTATGTATTTTAAGACTATGTAAGAAAAAAATTTGTAAAACGTAAGTAAAAGTATTTTTTTTTTTTTTAATTAGGATATGCTACTATTGATCTGTAACTAATTAATTGATACTCCCGATACACCAGATAAATTTCCAATTTATGTAAAATTTTCTATGATTCTATGATTCCAAAATATAAATGATCGTCAGTGCAGAGTGGTGCGGACGCGGACATGCCCATTACTCCCTGTCTAAACTACAAGAATTCCTAAATGACAGTCCAAAAAATTGAATACGTAATTAATTACTAACCTGGTAACATGATAATTATTTTCTTCAGATTCTTTCTCGTAAGCATCTATGATTTCACCTACAAATTCTAATGAGGCTGGATTTGGTTTTGTGTCAATAGGTTCTTGCTTGGGCCTTACCAAAAACTGATAATCTACAATTTTTCCTTTAATTTCTTGGCCATTAAAATTATCGTCATCAGGAATCTCCTCTTTAATATTATTTTTCGAAAGAAAAGACATTTTCTGTGTAGACGTAATAAACAAACTATATAAGATTTATATTTATCTACTTTAATATTACAAATCTGTGCTTATCATTCTATTTATAATGTTACATGCATAAACATAATAGTGATTACCACTGACCTTCATGGGTATTATTCAAAACATTTATAGGGGGGAGGGAGCAGAGAGAAAATGCCGTAGGCTATAGTGGAAGTGGAAACCCAAGGCGAAAAAATTAAAAATAACAAATCCAGGAATAATCTCGGTCAATACAATGATGCTGAATAATTTAATAATAATAATAATAATTTAGGGGGGATGGGTGGCTCAGTGGTAGAGTCTCTGCCTGTGGATCCAAGGGTCCCAGGTTCGAATCGCACCGTTGGCCGGGATTTTTTTATTTAATTTAATTATTTAAAATTAATGCTGATGCCTTGGTAGGATTCCCCACTCGACCATTCACTGTTGGGTTCTAATTAACAGTGTTGTTCCTAAAGTGGCGCAAGGAAACAGTAACAAGGCCTGTCTGTAGGGGTGTAGGAGTATTAGAGTACTAATACTCCTGCACTATGGAGTATTAGACTACTAGTACAATCCATAACCTACATAGAACACTAGGCTAATGACCTTAGATGTTGAAGCCGTACACCAAAGAAAAAAAAATAATAATTTAGGGTGTGGGTGGCTCAGTGGTAGTCTCTGCCTACGGATCCAAGGGTCACAGGTTCGAATCCCACCGTTGGCCGGAATTTTTTCATTTAATTTAATTATTTAAAATTAATTCTGATACCTTGGCAGGATTCCCCACTGTTGGGTTCTAATTAACAGTGCTGTTCCTAAAGTGCCGCTTGGAAACAGTAGCAAAGCCTACTCAGAACACGAGGCGAAATAATCTTAGTAGTTGAAGCCGATGACACACAAAAAAAAATAATAATAGACGGGGTGGGTGGCTCAGTGGTAGAGTCTCTGCCTGCGGATCCAAGGGTCCCAGGTTCGAATCCCACCGTTGGCCGGGATTTTTCTATTTAATTTAATTATTTAAAATTAATTCTGATGCCTTGGTAGGATTCCCCACTCGACCATTCACTGTTGGGTTCTAATTAACAGTGCTGTTCCTAAAGTAGCGCTGGGAAACAGTAACAAAGCCTACTCATAATACGAGCCGAAATAACCATAGCAGTTGAAGCTGACACACCACAAAAAAATAACACTAATAATAATAAAATGGTCCGAATTCGAGAAATTTGACAAAATGTCCAAAATTCTAATTTTTAAGAAAATTGTTGAAATAAAAGTTGTTTGCGATTATTTTTTAATTCAAAAAATTTATTTGTTAAAATATTTACAATATATACAACTTAACATAAAATAATAAGCACAACTCCTAATGTTGTGCCGGCCTGCAGGTACCCGCTATGGCGATAACTTCGCCTATAACCGAACCAAGCCATATCCAAAACCCAGTTTCACAAAGCCATACTAGCAAGATCATGAAGCCACCCACGTTTGATGGTCAGATAACATAGGAACGTAACGATTCCAATTTGAAGCTGCAGCTAGAGCCAATGGTTGGGCTGAAAAAAAGATGGCGGCATCATTGATAGTGTCGCTGCGGGAACAGGCAGCAATCGTTTTACAGTTACTTCCTCAAAAAAAAACCAGTTATTCATCTCTTTCCAAGCGTTGGAGACAAGATATGGCCAGCAGCATTTAAAACGGGTATTCCAAAGCCAATTAAAGGTTCGTAGTCAGAAAACATAATGAGAGTCTACAGGAATTCGAGGCTGACATAAGAAGATTGATTCATCTGGCCTAGCCACAGGCGCCGAAAGATTTACAAGAACAAATCGGAATACAGGCATTCATTGATGGACTATATACAAGATGTGGAAATGCATCAAGCCCTTCGTCTACAACATCACAAGAAACTGATTACAGCTCAGAAATATGAAGCGGTAAAACTTCTTCCAGATCGTCTCGCGCAAGAGTGAGAGAAATTAAATTCCAGGAAATACTAATACCATTTACCAACCTACCCTCTCACAAATCTTAAATATCCTGTAAAATATGCAACGAAACAGCCAAAATGGAAGCAGGAGATGCTTTAATTTTGGAAGAATCAGGCAACTTGAAAGGATCTGCAGAAGCAGGGCTCGTTCTATAAATCAAGAAATGAGGCCAGAATGTCACATAGACCAATCTCCCGAAGATCGCCACGAAGTCCAACAAGAAATAATTACAGCAGTTATGCGTCCCGAAGAAGCCAAACACCCACAACTAGCCGGCTTTCTGCAGTAACCAGAAAATAAAGCATCGTAGAGGCCGTCTCCATAGCAACGCAAACATTCTCTCCAGGCGACCCTATTTAGAACGAGAACGCCGCTACAGTAAAGGGCTCGGAGAACGGGAGGTACCGGTTGATAAAGTTACTCTTCGGGCAACCACTATCAAACCAGAGGGCGATGAAGAAGAAATCACCCTTGAACGCCTGAGAAAGGGGCAGAAGAAAGCAATGACTTAAAGGTTGTCCTAGAATGGCTCAAAAATAAAGTCACACCTACTTCGCAAGAGATAGCAAAATACAGCGGAGCTATTAAAGGATACTGAACTCAGTGGGATTCCCTGTATCTTCACGATGGCCTATTACACCTATTACACCTATTACACCGTTGGAGGAGCTTCATAGCATTCTTTCGGGAGGTCATTTTGGTACTAAAAGGACACTAGCACGAGTTCGGGAAAGATTTTATTGGGTCAATTGCCGACGGGATGTAGCACATTGGTATAAAAAATGTGATGTATGCAATGGCAGGACAAAGGTCCCAGTAATCAAGTTATTCGGGGCGAATAACTGTAGTTAATGTATTATAGATATTTTCATTACACACTGTTTAAAATAAAAACTTATAAATAAGCTCTAAATTAACTTTAATTTCCTATTCAGTTGTTAGAATAATTCCAGAACGCAATCGGCTATCATAAAACTTTCATAAAAAAATCAGAATCGGAATTTTCCTGGGGAGAGGGAGGGCCAGCGACGTCAGCGTGGGGGAGGACTGGCCTCCCTGTAGTAACGCGCCTAAATATGAATCAAACAAGTTATATGCAGAATCGTTTACTGCAAAATAATTTAAGTTTTTTAATAGAATATTTATATCTACCACTTCAAAAACACGACGTAAAACTAAAAAAAACTGTTACGATTGTATGTCCTTTGTCAATTGCGGATTTAAAATAATTTATTACTTCTTGTAAATTGGGTATCCAATAACGATAAAGTATTTTTGAGAAGTTTAAAAAGAATTTATTCCTTGGAAAATTTATTTTACTGACCAAAAAAAAATTAATTTTCTCAGTTCCACCAATTGTATAGTGGTCTTCTCTAGTAATTATTAGAGAGGCCCGTTTCAAACTTGTCTCTTTGCTGCTTATTTAAGACTTCCACCAAATTATCGGGCAACACCACATCATCACCACATCTCCACGGAATTACTCCCTGTAGGTCTTCCATAATTTCATCAAATAAGAAAGACTCTATTTTCTAAGATGGGATAAGTGAGAGAATATGATAAAGATAAGATGGTATTAGTGCATTAGTTGATTAGTTGATTAAAAATAAACGCGTTAGAAATCTATAATCTTCATTAGATTTTATTTACAATTTAGAATGAGAAGTTTTTAAGTTTCCAACAGCTGCTACAACTTCAATTTCCACAGAGGCGTTGTGAGGAAGATTTCCAACTTGAAAAGCGGTTCGGGCAGGAGGATTTTTGGTAAAATCTAAAAAAAAATATTGAAAATATAGTTGACATCTTCGAAGAAAATATTTGATCACTACAAAAACAATCTACATGGGCTTATAAAATTTCTTGATACCCTTTCTAATGGCGGAAAGCCAACCTCCAAAATGCTTAAGATTTACAGATTGCAGATTTTAAACTCTCGATAGATTTTCGCATAGCAGAAATACGTTCATGATTCGTGATTCATTGTCAGTTCTATCACAGCTTATACAATACAGCTCCACAACTCCGTGTCGGCGTCTTTGATGTGGCGGTCGAGAACCAAGCGAGACGGAATGGTGCTATATCTGTTAGATTCGACGGAAAAGTCGGGACCGGATTAAAAAATATATTTATTATTGAAATAATTGAAGATCTTGGCGTAATAAGGTTGGTTACATGCCACATTAAGTAAGTTTTGAGAAATTAGGTTTTAAATTTGTTTTAAATCTATCAAATATAAATAAAAAAATTATTTAAATATAAATATTACGAATAATAGCACATCTTTCGGATTAGAGATAAAATAAGTTGTATGTGGCTAGTAATATCCTTGTTAACAGATGTTTTGAGCTAAAACAGTCACTTCACGACAAATTGTGGCCGTGGATGCAAATCAAGTGGTACCTACCCCGTGTATCTATCAAGTGTCATTCATCGCGCAAAGGGTTTATAGTGTTTATACCTAGATAAACGACTGCTTCGACTGACTGAGGTCTGGGAGCTCGATGATATTATGGGGTCTATTCTGTAACAATTCCTTTATATTTAACGGCCTTTAAAAATATTGGCGGCCTTTAAAAGTATATTTGTATTCGTTAATTTACTTCTGTTATTATTTAAACAGATTTCTTTAAGATAGTCATCTAATGTATTTTAAAGATCCGTTTAAATAATGACAGAAGTAAAGAAGAAAATATTTTTAAAGGCTGTTAAATATAAAGGAATTGTTACAGAATAGACCCCAATATCGGTTTTATTTAGATGTATTTTTATTCATAAAGATTTGTAGAGTAATAATTTGACAGTTTTTATTTATGTATTATATTTTTATCTGACCGTACCGAAGTAGAAAATTTTGAAACTTGATAGTAATGTGAAATTTAGATTACAATGTTATGCGAAATTATATAATTAGTACCTATTTCAGGTAGGTACTAAATTTGTACTTGGAGAAAGTAATATCGATTTTTACAAGAAAACTCGAAAAGTAAATTAATTTAGTTCCTATTTACTGATGTAAACATTAAACCAAGAAAACAAATAAATAGTAGTTTGTGCAACAAGAGTGGATAGGGACAATCCACTCGAGTTGTACAGTATATTTTTTCTACGACCCACTGACGAAAATCTACAAATTAAAATAAATTATTTTAGGTTATTTAATCAAAATAACTAATTTTGTAACAATGTGACAAAAATGTCACATACACAGTTTTGATTGCCTATCTATGTACTTTAAAAATATCTTATTATAATTTAAAAAAATCTTATACAGGGCGAACTTTTTGATATGAATCGTCGAGATTAATTTTTCCTAAGCCAATCCTGGATTTTTTAACTTTTGAGGATATGAATTAAATGATAGACACCAGTGTAAAGCTCCACCAAAAAATTAAAGAAATCTAGTAATCCTAGTAGATTTTACGGCCATATAAAGTTTGGTCAAAATTCACAAAACAGTATATTAATAACGAAGGGGAGTTGCCACTTTTTAATGCTCATATGATATACCCCTTAAGGGACTCTACATATGGTAGAAGTCTGTAAGGTTCCTCATGAATCACCCTGTATATTTTTTTTTCGTATTTCCACTAATAAAACAGCTATCGATCAATTACGCACTCATGGGATACAAAGTTTATGTGTTATTGGCTAATATTTTGGTATAGATAAATAAGCAAATGTATAAGGAATTTTAGGTCAAAATAATATACAGGGTGTTTTGTTTGAAAAAATTGAGTAAATTGAACTTAAAATTAGCCATATTTAAGACATGTTTTAAAACACTCTGTATAAAATAAACCAGTTCTATCACCACTATTCGTTAGCTTAGTATTTTATAAATCTGTATATTAAACAATTTTGAAATCAATGTAAACCTACCTAAATTATGATAATTTAATGTGGGGTCTGCATCATTCTCTAATTAAAAAAAAATGAATTGCTTAGCAACACTATATTTTTTAATACATTTTAGGGTTAAATACAGTATTACCAAACCATTCTAAAAATAAAATAAAATAAAATAAAATACAGGGTGTTCCATTTAAAAAACATACATTTTGATTTGCCAATTCAATATTCAAAAATATTTTTAAAATATGTATTTTTCAAATCCATATAATTTTTATTTAAAACTTTTTTTGCGTGTCTGCAACACAAATTCAAATATTGAACAATTACGCACTAATGGGACATCCTGTATAAATTATATTATTATTAATGAAAATTTCTTAGAATGTGGTACTTACCGGTTTGGGTCCTTGGGAAAACGAAAGAATGTTTTCTTGCAGGTATAACTCTTATTAAAACAGCTTTTGACTGCACAGACAGAATGATGTCTTTTTTTTCACTCATTCTACTCACAGTTAAAGAGTCACCAAAATAATAACAGTACCTTTAACTTAACACAACAGGCAGCTCAAACAAAATCAACGAAATTATGCAATCAACGAAATTATACGCACGGCTCAATCCTTACCTAAGTACGATTCTGAACGCCAAAGCCGTCTTTTCCGTCCGAAGGAGGAGCTTAAGCAATGCGCGACGGAATCGACGCAAACCGTTGCCGCCAAGAGAGTGTTTTAGCTGTATTGTATAAGCTGTGGTTCTATTACGCAAGTAATAATTATACGAATTTATGCTGGAATATATTATAAGAGGTGTGTTTTACACAAATATTTACAACCTTTTTTGTTATTATAAAAAATTTATGAAAAAAGTAGAAACATGGCATTGCTTTTTAATTATTCTACTGAACTCGCTTTAAATCAAGTAAATACTTCGCACGTTCCGAAGAAAAGAGCAATAAATCAAATTTTGTTATATTCTCACTTTTCTCTTGAAATGGATAATAAATCTAATTCACTAGCCCCCGAGAAAATTGTAATAACTTAAGTTCTACCGTGATCCAATAGATTGCGCAAAACTCACTATTCTTCGAAAGAGGTATAGTTCTTCCATTATCAATTGCAGATCATAAAAACTCGTTCGGAACCTTTACCGACAATTTTGTTTGATCTGCCATAGGCTTAGATACCTACCTCATTTTATAAATTTATTTTATTAATACTTTTAATATATATCATATGCAAGAAAGTATTCGTTAAAAGGAAATCGAATAATTATAAATTGGACGTTATTATACGCCCTTATTTAGACAGATGCACTTAATTGTAATCTTACTTGGACTTAAAAAAAATCATTATAGCTCGTTAACTTGCTACAACTGAATATTAAATTATAAAACGTAAAAAAGCGAGTAAAGTGTACCTGCCTGTAAGGGCGTTTGGTTTAAACAGGGTACCAGACGTGAACTGAACCCTTTTTGTACCCCATTCGTTCTTTTTCTGGAAAACGAAATTTCAAAGAAAAAACCATGAGGGAAAATAAATTCTTTGCAAATAAAACAAAAGAAAAAAAACAATTCAATTCTAAAGTATCTTTATAAATAATCATGGCAGTCTGAATCCTCTGAACTAGAGTCATCATTTGGTTGAATTATGATGGGTTGTAAAGAGGGTAATACTACATACTCATCTTCTTCTTTGATAACATGTTCAACACAGTTTTTCCAAAGCTCTTGGCGGTCTGCTGCTAGAACTTTCTTTACGAGTTCTACAACTTCTTTACTCAGTTCTGGAGACTGATTACATTTTCGTAATTCTGATTTTAAGTTTGCCAATATTAACTCTATAGGGTTAAATATGCAATAGTAAGGAGGTAGTCTGAGAAGAGTTTGCACAGCTTGTCAATATAATACATTTTTTCTCTTATACCTTTAATAACAGTAAGCAATTCTTTGTTTGTTGGTCCTTTTTTACTATCACTGGCAGGAATGGGAATATTTTTTTCAGACATAAAAGCTAAACTTTGAGCTTTTTTACTGCTACTATTTGGTATTTTAAGGAGTTGCCGCGAGTGGTAGGATGCGTTGTTCATAACGATTTCTGACTGTGGTGGAATGTAAGGTAAAAGCTGTTCATTAAAACGTTTTTCAAATAATTCTGCTGTCATATCTTCATGATAATCAGCTGCGCAGTTTTTAATTTGTTTAGCAGATTATAATAAAGCATTAGGCACGAAACCGTCTTTGCTTCCAGCGTGTACTATTATAATGCGTTTCCCTTTAGAACATGGCCCATTCAAACAGCAATTTTTACTACTGCCAACCCAACCGAAATTTACTACATCGTGACTGTCAAACCATGTTTCATCTAGATAAATGATGTGTCTATTAGAACTTCTGTAGCCTTTTATCTGACGCAAATAATCATGTCGCCATTGAACTATCCTTGACGATTCGGTGATTGCCATCTGTTTATTCAATTTTTTGTGTTTAAAACCACATGCTGACAAAACTTGACGCAATGTTTCCAAACTGGTATAAGTGTATCCTGGAAAATCTGCCACCTTTTGCTGTATTACTTCCAATGTTGGAACCCTGTTCTCCTTATATAAACTATAAATTGTCCTTCGTATAAAATCTTGGGTAGCTCTGTCAACTGATTTCAGTTTTTCTTTACATGTTTTTCGGTATTATGAATAATCCACAGCAACCCCTTTCGTGACTACCGGATAAACGGAAAATGTATTTACTTTAGTTAATTCAGCAATTGTTATTATGAACGCATTATCAGACTGCTGAATATTTTCCTTTTTTAAACATTCGAATATATTTAAAATAACTTGTTGTGTTTGTATATCTAAATCCTTATCGTTAAAATCATACCTGTCTTTAATCTCACTACACTGTGCAATTTCATTTTCTTCATTCGCCCATGGTCTAAAGAACGCCATATTTATATTTATTAAAAGAAATTTAAATTAAACCAACCACACATACAAAACACACCTCACGACAGTTTAGTACTCCACTGATATCGCAGACTGTCTTCCAGGAATATTTTCGAACACCTGCCTTCCGTAAACCTTCGGCCAATACAGTGCATTTAAGTTAACGATTCGATGTTTTCATTGGTAAACAACTGATGGTTCGTTTAATATTTACCGCTTTGTATAAGGGGAGTAAACATTATTTTTCGTTTCTTAATTCGGCATGAGTACCGTGCGTATATATTAAATATTGATGATTCCCCACATAACTGTGATCTCCAATTGATAATGGAAGGACTATACATCCGCATCTTCCGGTGATAACAGTAGTAAATGGTAGCTGTCATGCCGAAAACGTTCACGTTCACGATAATTTACAAGACGATGAGGACCAAACGTACAAACGCCGAGTTTGACGAATAAACCCAAATATCGACTGAGGATTAGGCCTCTTAGGGATACAACGTTAAAAAACGTGCCGATCAACTCTACCTCAAGGGTGGTGTGGAAACGAGTTGAAAATGATACTTTCTTGTATCATGTATGCACATAAAGAATAAATTTGGCGCCTAGGTCAACAAAAATAAGGAAATATTGACTATAGATACTGATAATTACAAAATGTTTATATCAGAATATGTAGGGGCGCGCTTCAAAACATCATATCATATATTTTATACGACCAAATGTATCAAATCGGGCATCCGCAGACTCAGAAATGATTATTCTATTGGAAAAAAATATTACGTAATTGTTTCATAGCGATCCTCGTCTTATTCCGCGATGAAATTCTCATTTTGTTGAACATTGCAAATCAACTCCTTACTTTGGCGCGTCATAGAGCGGGAACTATTGGTCGCAGACAAAAAAATCTAATGTGTCCAACACATGACTTTCCTATCTAGTTATTATAGGCATTTTCCGGTTATTTTGTACAACCTATTGCAGCATCTCTATAAATGTTTAGAGGATAAACTAAATATATACATTTTACATACACATCTACCTCGAAACATTTTTCTATAGATATTCATTGGAAACGAAAATACAGAAAAATTTAAATTTAGCACTTTTCCATTACGGTCCATTTTAGAAAAATCATGTATAAACAAAAATTATAGAAATCGATATCGCAAACAACTTTTAGTTCAACAATTTTCATAAAAATCAGAATTTTGCACATTTTGTCAAATTTCTCGAATACGGACCATTTCAGGAAATTTTGACATAAAGCAAAAATTATAGATAAAAATATCAGAAGTAACTTTTATTTGAACAATTTTCTTCTCCAAACATAAATAACAGACATATTCCATAAAATATAAAAACGGCCTCCCATAAAGTACCCCCCCAGATGTTCCGACTTTGTCCAAAATCTAATCATTTCACGTCAGGCCGAAATAAACCTTAAGTTTAAAATTTAATGTTTTTTCCTTTATCCGTTTTTGAGTTTTCTTCAAATTTCGAAATTTACACATTTTCTCAAATATCTCGAATACGGTCCATTTTAGAGAAATTATGTATAGGACAAAAATTATAGAGAATTATATTACAAACAACTTTTACTTGAACAATTTTTATAAAAAATTATTTTTTTTAAATTTTGTCAAATTTCTCGAATACGGACCATTTTAGGAAAATTTTTCATAAAACAAAAATTATAGATAATTATATAAGAAGTAACTTTTATTTGAAGAATTTTCTTCTCCAAACGTAAATAACAGATATATTCCATAAAATATAAAAATGACCACATATAAAGTACCCCCCCAGATGTTCCGACTCTGCCCAAAATCTAATCAGCTCATTGGACGCTGAAACAAAGCTTAAGTTTAAAATTTGGTGTTTTTCTGTGTATCGGTTCATGAGTTATGCGTTATACACACACACACACACACACACACACACACACACACACACACACACACACACACACACACACACACACACACACACACACACACACACACACACACACACACACACACACACACACACACACACACACACACACACACACACACACACACACACACACACACACACACACACACACACACACACACACACACACACACACACACACACACACACACACACACACACACACACACACACACACACACACACACACACACACACACACACACACACACACACACACACACACACACACACACACACACACACACACACACACACACACACACACACACACACACACACACACACACACACACACACACACACACACACACACACACACACACACACACACACACACACACACACACACACACACACACACACACACACACACACACACACACACACACACACACACACACACACACACACACACACACACACACACACACACACACACACACACACACACACACACACACACACACACACACACACACACACACACACACACACCACACACACACACACACACACACACACACACACACACACACACACACACACACACACACACACACACACACACACACACACACACACACACACACACACACACACACACACACACACACACACACACACACACACACACACACACACACACACACACACACACACACACACACACACACACACACACACACACACACACACACACACACACACACACACACACACACACACACACACACACACACACACACACACACACACACACACACACACACACACACACACACACACACACACACACACACACACACACACACACACACACACACACACACACACACACACACACACACACACACACACACACACACACACACACACACACACACACACACACACACACACACACACACACACACACACACACACACACACACACACACACACACACACACACACACACACACACACACACACACACACACACACACACACACACACACACACACACACACACACACACACACACACACACACACACACACACACACACACACACACACACACACACACACACACACACACACACACACACACACACACACACACACACACACACACACACACACACACACACACACACACACACACACACACACACACACACACACACACACACACACACACACACACACACACACACACACACACACACACACACACACACACACACACACACACACACACACACACACACACACACACACACACACACACACACACACACACACACACACACACACACACACACACACACACACACACACACACACACACACACACACACACACACACACACACACACACACACACACACACACACACACACACACACACACACACACACACACACACACACACACACACACACACACACACACACACACACACACACACACACACACACACACACACACACACACACACACACACACACACACACACACACACACACACACACACACACACACACACACACACACACACACACACACACACACACACACACACACACACACACACACACACACACACACACACACACACACACACACACACACACACACACACACACACACACACACACACACACACACACACACACACACACACACACACACACACACACACACACACACACACACACACACACACACACACACACACACACACACACACACACACACACACACACACACACACACACACACACACACACACACACACACACACACACACACACACACACACACACACACACACACACACACACACACACACACACACACACACACACACACACACACACACACACACACACACACACACACACACACACACACACAGACATCATCGCGAAAATAGTCAAAACGGATTCAGGGAACCTCAAAACGTAAAAATCCGTCGAAAACTCGAGGTCGAAAAAAATCATGATTCCTATACTTTCCTTATATCTGTATACAGATAGGAAAGTAAAAATGTAGAAGTCAACATTGTGTACGATTTTGTCTTGTACATATTTCATTTGAACTTTTTTTTGATAGCACTTACCACAACGGCGCTATTTTCCGAAAAGCGTCGCGACGCAGAGATTTCATCCCTCCACCCCTCGAGCGGCAACCCCCCCGAGGTCGCAAACTTAGGTGTAGTATCAGGGGACCCATGTTTACCATCCCACCAAATTTCATTTCTTTTTGGAAAAAATGACAGGCGTGGGAAAATTAATTTGAATCGTGAATTATACGAGAACATTAAAAAATATAATTTAACCTATTTTCATTTTGTAGTACCTACAAAAAAATTAAGATTCAAAATTTAATTTATTTACTTACACTGTTTGTAGACATCGTTCATAACTCCATAATCTTTGATATCTTTAAGATACACAGTTGCTTTAACAATATTTTCAATACTGGATTTACCAGCTTCTAGTATATTTTTAATATTTTCTAGAGCTTGTTTGGTTTCCGGTCCCACTCCTCCGTCTACAAATTTATTTGTGTCTGGGTTCACTCCTAGAGATCCTGATAAATAGATTAGGTTGTTGAAAGAAACAGCTTGGCTAAAACAAAAACGAGAAATATTATGAGACACATGAAATATATTATATTCAAAATGAAACCAATACTTTGTTAAAATATCATTGTCGATTTTAGTTGAACGATTTTTATTGATCAACCAAAATTGAATGTTGAAGAGATAGTTGAAAGCAAAATGGCGACTAAAAGGATTCATCGTGAGGGCGAGATTTATCAAAGCAAAACGTAGAATTGGGTTCGGACATTTAGATAGAATAAAGAGGAGATACTATGACGATGCTAAAATGTCCACACTTTGCATTACACTTGTGGAGCTAGTCAGTTTTGGTGAGAATAAATGCCATTTTTTTTAAATAGCTTCATTTAAATTATAAAATCATTTTCATTCCATCAGTCTTAAAATATAAAATAATTGACCAAATAAATCAAAGTACGACTCAAGTTGTCATATCGCAAAATAGTGTTTATGTCGTCTCTACTTTATTATATCGCCATGGGTTCGGAAATAAATTTTGACGTTAGGTATTTCAGGAACACATTAGCAAGAACTTGCCGCAGAAGATGTTGAAGGATACAGGAATCATTTAAGATTGTCAGAAAACATTTAAATAACTCCTTTCTAAAGTGCAGTAGAACAAAATGGCTCCCAGGGGATAATGACAGGTTATGATATGGCAACCCTCTGAGCCTGGTAATTTGACAGGGTCAATGATATAGATAGTCATATAGATTGATCGTCCATGTTTTTCAAAATAAACATCAGCCTTGAATGCATTGAAGTAAAAATGTAAGTAATTATTTTTTTAATCTATTCAAACGCTGAAGATTGGTTTTAAAACACATTTTTGCTAAACCGATTCTGATTAGTCAGTATCTGCGTGGCAATATACCGCTCACAAAGCAAATCGCATTGAGCCATCTATATAACTATATATTTATCATTGACCCTGTCAAAGACAACAGGCTCTCAGGGTTGCCATATCATAACCTGTCATTACTCACGGGCAGCATTTTGACAGATCGTTGTAATGCCTAAAAACTTCGAAAACCAGTGACATTTTTTCTAAAAATTTTAATCGTCAAATTTAGTGTATTATAAATTGAATACGTCCCTGTAAATTCCTTATCAAATTTTCCAAATATTTTTTATTTTCGTTATTTAAGATTTAATCCATCGAGATAGAATGAAGTAGAGACAACATAAACATCACTTTTAGATAAGACAAAAGCACTTTACGGTGCTAAGGTTGTGTTCGATAAATGACTCTCGTAGTTAGAGTTTATACCAGGTGTCCCATTAGTGCATAATTGTTCAATATTTCAATTATGTTATAGATACGCAAACGAGTTTTAAAAAAAAGCTATATGGATTTAAAAAATACGTATGTTACAAATATTTTTGGATATACAGGTTATTGTGTTTTTGCCTGGAAAATAAAAAAGTATATTTTTTAAATTGAACACCCTGTATTTTATTTCTGCTTTAGTAATACTGTATTCAGCCCTATTTTTTTTTAAGTAGTACAGGGTTTCCAAGCAATTAATTTTTATATGAAATTATAAAATGATGCAGACCCCAAATTAAATTATCATAATTTAGGTAGGTTTAAAATAATTTAAAAATGGTATAAAATACAGACTCATAAGATACTAAGCTAACGAATAGTGGTAATAGAACTGAAATATTTTATACAGAGTTTTGAAACATGTCTTAAAAATGTCTAATTTTAATTTTTACTCCATTTTTTCAAATGAAACACCCTGTATATTATTTAAGCATAAAATTTCTTATAAATTTACCTATTTAACGATACCAACATGTTAGCCAATAACCAATAACACATATACATATGGTGTCCCATCAGTGCGTAATTGATCGATAGCTGTTTTATTTATTTTTTATTATTTTTAATCAAAGATCAAATAGAAATAATTTTGAAAATTCCCATTACAGAAATCAAAACTATTATCAAAGAAATTTTAATCATATTCCAGTAAATAATCAATACAAAGCTAATTTTGATAATTTTCCTTGTCAACCTATAAATGTACAACCAATGCCACAATTAAATAAAAAATACTTTACTAATTAACAAGTTTTTGAACCATTAAGACCATAAAATGTTTTCAAACCAAATTAAATTCCAGAAGCCAATTGTCTAAACCAGAACGGATGTCAACGACATCACGAAACCCTTCTTTCCAATCAAAAAGACAATTTTATGATAACAGAAATTTCCAAAATTGTAATTCACAACTAAATTTTACTTTTGAAGAATTGCATTCTAATTTTTGCAATGATACCAATTTAAATAACAATAATGAGGACCATCGTCATGATAAATTTGAAAATGAATCAAGTAAAAAAAGGTGACTTGAACAAAATTTTTAGATACCTCATTGAAAACAAAAAGTTAGTAGAATTGCACAATATTTCAAACAATTTATTACCTTATACGCGAACCCAAGCTAAAACTGTTAATTGATACAGGAAATTGTAGGTTAATAATAAAACCTTCAGTAGAAAAGAAATATTTTCCGCAAACAATTTACCATTCAGAAATTATCTTAACCACAACTATGGGAAGTCAAGAGACTAATGATTAAGCTTTAGTGCCAGCGTTTGCTGAGTTTAATTCTAATGATAAATACTTTATTCTTTACAACTTTCATGCATTTTTTGATGGCGTATTAGGTTTAAACGATTTGATAAACTTGAAATTAATTATAAATTAAACTCAACAAAACTTAATAGGCGATAATTTTGAAATCCCATTTAAATATAGTTCAGTCAAAGAAACAATACTTTGTTGTGAAGTTTTAAAAAAAGATGAAACGGAAGAAAATAATATAAAGAATCTAATCACAATCTTAGGCAAAAATTAAGAAAACTTTAAAGTTGAAATGAAAAAATTCAAGCAGCTATTTATAATAGAATCGATACACTTGAAAGTTATATTAGTTTTCAGGCCATTATGTCGCAATTTGATTTAGATTGTCAAATGACAATTTCTTTTATAGATAATTTAGAAAATGCCATAACCTTTGGAAAAGTAAATACTTTATATAATTTTATAGTTTCAAGCTCAGACATAAAAAAAATGATAAAATATTTACATAAATTATATAATGTTGATCAAATTCCGAAATTTACAAATATATTACCATATTTTCAGTTCTTATAAACGTAAGTATCAATTTCAGAATCGAAGTTAATTCTTGCAACACGCCTTCCTATTTTTGAAAGTAATACCTTTGAATTTTATCATTTATTCCCAATTATCCAAAACCAAAAAATGTATACAACTTTATTCCTCTATTTGGCACTAAAACATCAAGATACACAGTTTAAACGAGAAGAATATCCATCCCTTGAATAAGTCTATTATCGTTAACAAAATTTCATCCCCAGAAATAATAATTGTACTCTCCAACTTCTTGAAGGAAAAAGTTTGACAAATTGTCATATTTTAAATGTTAATTAAGAAGAGTCAGTATTGGAACAAATCGCAGTCGATGAAGTCTTAATAATCCCGTCAAAACCTGAACAAATTCTTTCAAAATGTAAGAGTAAACAGTGCCTAGAGCTGAATTAATCAAAATACCAAAATCTTATGAAATTTGGGCCAATGAAAGAAGATATATCAACAACATTCTACTGAGTAGAGGAAATCCATTCATTCTACCAAAGATCGACATGAAGAAAATTCAAACTTTAAAATCTTATCAAACTTCTAATATAACTAAATTAGATTTTAATGATTTATATGAAATTAATCAAATTTCTAAACAAAGTCAATTATAGAAATTCAAAGAAATTTTAATTTTTCATGCACTTTTGAAACAATTTTTGTAATTTTTATTTGCATAATTATTTTAATTCTAATTAAATACAGAAGACTATCTTACTTGTGAGTCTGGCGGTGATTGTAAATAACAACAAGACTATAAAATTATAGTACCTATTATTTATCATGTGAAAAATTTTAAAATCCGGGAAAATAAGAGCAAAAATTTGTAATTTTAAGAATTTTCAAGATGTCGCCAGACTAATTTAGCAATTTCGTAAATCAGCCAGACTTGCTTTTGATTATCAAATGATACGCTAAATTTCAAACATGGGAAAACAAGGGTTACGGATTTCAAAAATCGGTAAAATTTTTGGATCCGCAAATTTTCAGCCAGACTGACTTTCCTCCGGTGAGGATATTGCCAGACTGTTATTTTCATTAATAAAATGATTCACTTTAATAAATGTCAAATATTTATGACTGGGAAAATAAGTGGACTGGTCTTTTTTTTATCTAGTGAACCCATCCAAAAAATTTAGCCAGACTCACAAATTGTCGTTTTGTGTCACCATCCGAAGAAACAATGGCACATTCATCGAATGCGAAAATAAGTATAAAAAGAATTCACTGTCCCCTGGACTATTATATCTCAATGATATAAACAATAAGATCAAAAATCAAAACTTCAACTTATTTTAACATAACATACCTAAGAAATGGTGCTACAGCTGGTGCTTGTTTTGTTTCAATAATTTTCCTCTCTAAAGCCATTGCTATTTTACAGTACAAAATCGCCACACTTTTTGATTCAATGTTATTGATATGTAATTTTATTACTCGAATTTCTTCCACTATCTAGTCGAACTTTTTTAGTATAGATAAACAGAACCGGATTTAAAATACACGAGATAGATTTTCAAACACCAAAAAAGACTTTTTAAATTTTTTATTAATTATACAAAATACAAAGGCGTGTTTACTACCTTAAAGCTAAGCAAAGAATGATCTAAATACAATATTAAAAGTAAAGTTAATCACAATGCAACAAAAAACTGCTATCTTATCTATGCAATTATGCATAAAAATATGTGAACGTCGGTAAATTGGCCCTATGTAACTCACGTTTCTTAAAAATGATTAACTCAATGAATTTCAATAAATTAGTAGGCATAAGATAGTATGTCAGAGGCATGGAAATTGATCAAAAACTCGGCGATATTGGAATATCAGGTTGGATCAAGTCCTGTCTTACGAACCGATGACAACATTTTCTTATTTGCGGGTCAGTGTCACTTGCAGTGTTTGTTACCTCAGGTGTTCCACAGGGTTCACATCTTGGTCCTGTGTTATTATTAATGACATTTAAGTATTCACAGTTTCTTATATATGCAGATGATATAAAAATATTTCAGTCAGTGACACTAGACGTTAATTCTATTAATCTACAGTTATATCTGAATAGTTTTGTATCCTGGTGCGAATCAAACCTTCTGCAACTTCTTTTTTTAGAAAGTGGAAAATGTTTTTACGCACGCCCCTACATTTTTCAGGGACAGTATATGACTCAGGATTCTACTACCCACTAAAAACCACCTTCTATTTGGCGGAGACCCCTCCTGGGACTACCTTAGCGTGTTAACGTCGTCTTTCTCAAGTTGTCCGTGACTATTCGGTACCCGTTTCCCCAAGAGTCATTATACAGGTCGTCGCACATCTCTCTCCAGCAGACTTGGACTTCTTAATGCTGCTTCGTAGGTTCTTTATCGCTCCCTTATATTCCAGCTTCCAGCTTTAAGTCTTCAATAGCTTCCTCCTGTAGTCCTCTTTCTCTTCGTCGTTTTTCTTCTAGCTTGAACGCAGGTATCTCTGGATCGCTGGATTTCTTCATTCCATCAGAAGGGCTGCTTTCTATTTGTAGCTCTGGTCTTCGTATCGCTCATTTTGTGCGCATTTTGTGTAGCCATTATGATCCATGTCTCTGTTGATCACAATTTGGAGAAATATTATGAGTAGTGTCTTATCCAGAAACTATACTCCTTGGTTTTTGTCTGATTTAAAAGTACCTGAGTACAAGTAACATGAATGACAAAAACAAAGCAAGATTTACTTCGTTCCAGATTATAAAACAGGATACAAATCGTAAGTAAAACTAAAGAAAACCAAGGAGAAATCAATTCAATGTCTTTTTAAAACTTCTAATGTAAGTAAAATAATGTATTTATTTCTAAATATAATATTTATTGTAAATTAGTGACAACCCGTATATTACGGAGTGTAATTTATTTTATTACAAGTTTCTATATAATATAAAATTTTACAGTCATAGATCCTGACTTACAAACAACTAGAAAATTATATTTGTTTTTTTATAGTTTTAATATTAGATGAAGAGTTACTACTGTTTTTTTTTGTTGAACCCCAATTTTGTCATTGTAAACGTTTTTTATAGGATCCTAAACGCCTAGAACAATGGCACCATATATATCGTTCCTAGGGCCGGTAAAGCACTTTCTAGAAAAGATGCTGTTCTACATATTTTAGAAGATATTTCCAAATATTATGACTCTTTTTACTGATGGTACCGTTAACAAAATAAAAAGAGGAAGGGCGAAATTAAAAGATGAGGCAATACCATGTACATTTTCAAATCTCCCTTTATGCTTTTATTATAACAATAAAAAATCTGTTAACTGTGTTTTATTTTGCTTTTAAAACTATATTTAGTATAATTAAAAGAAATTGTCCACAAAATTGTACTCACTAAATTTCAACATTTAACAAACCTTTTCGAATTTGGTCATACCTAATTTGCATTTTATATAGATAAAATTAAATAATTTATCAATTAAAACATGCAAGACTTATTTAAAAATAAATACAACAGTATTTTCTGTTTATTTTTATTATCTCATGCGGTGAATTGTAAAAGCTCATTAGAGCTCGTTTTTTGGGATCGTATTTTGAGTATGCCGATTCGCCCCCTTATCTCTAGTCTTCATACAACTGCAACGTTTCAATGACCTGTCAAACAATAGCTGCCGGTGTACAGGGCTGGTATATCTAAGGGGTTGCAACATAGCCTGCCACCTTGGACGCTATTTTTAATCGAAATAGTAGTCGCCTAGCCTGCCAATTTATAAAAAATACTAAACTGAATCACAACGGAAGGACATTTCTAAAGTTTCTTTTCAATTGTGATTTGGGGTGCTAACTTGAATTTTAGAGAAACTTTTTTGGGTTTCGATGTATCAACTTATCTATTGTCACTGCTGTCACAATTTCTTTTCTCATCCTTATTATGACAGTTGCGACGCAACTCTTATATACAGGTTGGTTAATTTTTCTTGTTAAAAAGTGAATTTTTAACACCAACCCTTCCCACTTACAGTTCCTTTGTTTGGAATGCCTAATAATTTGTATCTAATTCGTGAAGACTAGTCTTCATAGTCTAATTAGTAACAAAATTATATTTCAGTAGAGGCTACTCGGTTTCGGATAGAGAATAGTATGAAAGTTATAGTCCACGCTATGAAGCTCTAGTCTTCATAGTCCGCGCATCCGTTGTGGTCCCTTGAGAGAAGTCAGTTGCAAAACCTAACTATAAACGCCATCGTGACGTACATACTCTTATCTATACAAGCAGATTATACATTTTACTATGTCTCTTCTAAACTAATTATTCTCAGTCCGTCAGTCTCAATTTCAGTCTCAATCATTTTGCTGACTTCTACCCAATTGTCGAACATCACATCATTTGAATACATTAATTTCCACGGGATCTTTCCTTGCATATCCTGTATAGGGAAGAGGATATCATACAGATAGGTCCGATTACAATAAAAAGAACAACACATCTCCCTCATCACTTGGTAGAATTCGTTGACGGAGTGTTAATATTATATAGGAATATAGGAATTATTTTTCAAAAAAACATTTTATTCTGTATGTATTGATAGTTGCAGATAATTTATATTTGAAATTCAAAATAATGGTTATGACGTACCGGTGTTCTTCTTATTGTAATCGAACTTCGGACATTAAGAGGAAATGATACAGGTAAGATAATATTATTCTGGTATTAGTGATAAAAATCTATTATCCTAAATATATTATTTTATTTACAATTAAGAATGAGTGGTTTTTACGTCTCCCACAGCTGCTATAACTTCAATTTCAACAGAAGCGTTGAGAGGAAGCATTCCAACTTGAAAAGCGGTTCTGGCAGGAGGATTTTTGGTGAAATCTGAAAAAAAAAATTAAAATTAATTTGACGTGTTCGAAGGAAATATTTGATTAAACATTTAAAAATCAATTTGCATTGGGCTTATAGGGCTAGAATTTCTGGTTGCAACTACTAGTGGCGACTAACAGAACCTTACGGATTAGAGATTTTAAACTTCGCAATATTTTGTAAAACGGTCTCCTCTGTTTTTAAAGGGCCTGTTGTCCACTGGCCTATTGTCTATACCACACGAAGACTTAGTCATTGAAAGCACATTCAAAAAGGTTATTGATTTAATATTAATGACTCTAATGATTTACTTGTTTGTATCCTGGTTGTGACATTTTTCTTTTACATATTATTTTTAAGGAATAAAGACAAATTGCCAATGAAAAAAGAGAATGTACATTTTTGTATCTGCTTTATTTTTTAACGTAAGCGAGTTTTGTATGTATAACCACAGTAAGCCCAACATCTATATACGGAAAGAGCATACCATAACTACTATATTGTGCTATGATATGCTACTACGCCGCAGTTGTGGCATTATCTGTGGTGTTTCTCCAGCAGTCGCCCAATCATTTGCTAAGTGTAAAGGTACGTATGAATATGGCGCACTATGTCTGTCATACCATCATCGTCCCAAGAACGCACGCACGCAGTAATAGGCCCGAGTCGAATAAGTTCCTATCCTGTTAAACTGGATCGAAACCTACTAGACCCTTCCATCCACCCCAAGCTTTTTTCATCCGCTGCTTGGTCCTCATGTCAATAGCATTTGATTGGCACCCCATACCTTCGGTTGAGCGGTGAAGGTTGAGGCGATATCATCATTTAATAAGAGTCGGTTAAGGCGCGTTGTTGTCCGTTGCTCATCTGGACCCCTCTGACGATGACCAGAGATGAGCCAATAGTATGCAACGTGTGTCGTCAGTTGTCGGGTTGTTCACGTCTGTTGCCTACCGAAGGATATACCCTTTTCAGAGTCCCAGTAATGGGACTCTTAAAGGGGAGAAACCTGCAGGAGGTGGAAGTCTTTGCTGTATGTGTTGGTACCTAAAACGCACATTAATACACCTTATATGGTTCTGGGTACGATTTTCGCCGAATGACCGAACTAAAAACTATTATATATATTGTTTTTGTTTTTTTTTTGTTTTTGTATTTTTTGTATATTTTTTTTTTTTTTGATTTTTTGTTTGGCCTACTTTATTAATATCTAGCGCTTTCCCACAGAATTATTTTAGTTGTCGTCGTCGTTTGCGTACTCCAGTTGTTTTCTGGGTCGCGCATGTTTCCTTTCGTAGTTTGTCTGGTCCTTCAGCTCGCGATTAGGGTGTTGTCGTAGATCTCTAAAAATATGTGAGGCTCTACTGTTGATAATATCCAAAACCGTGGTGGTTTCTAGATCTCTGAACAGATAGCGGTTGCGAACGTACCAAGGTGAGTTAGCAGCCACTCTGAGACACATATTTTGTTGAGCATGTACTTTCTACCTGTTGGTTCTGCACGTGTGTCTCCATGCAACAGAAGCGTATGTCAGTTTGGTTTTGGTTGGTAACTTACTGCGTCGTCCTATGACACTGTAGAGATTACTAACCTAATCGCGGTAGCTCTTGTCGTTATTTTCGGTGAATGTCAATCCTTGGTCCAGTTGCACTCCAAGGTATCTCGCAGTGTTTGTTCATGGTATGTTTCGTCCGTCCATTTGTATTTCCCCAGTTGGGGTGTGTCGTCGTTTTTTAAAGAGTGCTCCCTGACTCTTGTCAGGGTTAATCTTCACCTTCCACTTGATGCTCCAGTCCTCGATTTCTGTGGCTGCTTCTTGCAGGTATCGGCATATCATACCTGTGTTGGTACTCCTGGCAGCGATCGCTGTGTCGTCGGCGTACATTGATGTCATGGTGTTGTTTGTCTGTGGTATGTCTGCTGTGTAGATTGTATACAAAAGTGGTGACAGAACTGCCCCCTGTGGTACTCCTGCTTCCGGAGTTGCGTATCTAGACAGGGCGGAACCTATCTTGACACGAAACTGCTTTTCACCTAAGTACGACTTGAGTAACTGTATCATTGCTCCTGTGTACCCGTAGTCTTTGAGTTTGTAAGTAGTAGTAGTGAGTAAGTCCTTGACCTCATGTGGTAAAGTTACAGTAATGTTGTCCAATACTTCGTCTTCAGGTTCCATAGATTCCTCTACTTCCTCCGAAAATTCCATATCTTCGTTTTCGTGTTGATTTTCGGTACACTCCAATTCAAGCGTTCTGTTTTGTCTATGTACGTGTGTGCAAGTCCGTTTTGTCCGTGTAGTGATGGTATGTTTGGTCTGCCTGTCCTAAGTACTTTTTGGAGTTTCCAAAAAGGTGATTTTGGGGGTCAAGTTCGTCTAGGAAGTTTTTTCACTGTTCGTCTCTGTGTAGTAGTAGTTCCAGTTTTACCTGTTCTTTAAGTCTGTTTGCCTCTCGTTTGTCTACAGCCAACCTTGTCCTATGTGCTCTCTTACGAGCGCGTCTTTTCAGCACTATTAGATCTTTTAGTTCCTGACTGATGTCTCTAAATCGACTAGGTCTCGCTACCCAATAACGGGCGAAGTTCGTCAGATTTATACGGTGCTCCATAACTACCCAGCGCCGGCAAATAGGATCGAAGTAGGCCCGTTGCTTTCCACCATACAAATGCTGCGTTTGAATGTCCACATCCGATGCATTTTTTACATTTCGAGCGTTTATTTATCCACTTCGTACACATATGTCCTACTACATTTACGTATATTGAATCACGTGATTAAAGATTTACAACATCTCAGATGCATCCGATGTGGATATTCAAACGCAGCAAATGCTGACGAACTGGGCCCGCTTTTGGCTCAGGCACGGCGCGCCACTTCATAAACCGTTGCGATTGGCTGACAGGCAATGGGAGTTACACGTCACAAGCATAAAGTAACTATTCTATTGAAATTATTAAACGTATATGATTTTTTATGACTTTTTTACTGGAATTTTATTATCCATATTTATTTAGAAAACGAACTGTGCTCACAGTAACTATACTGCTCAACAATTGAACTGGATAATTCTGAATGTATTGAAATTTAAATTTTAAAATATTTAAATAATCGCACTGTATATTGTAACATCATCCTCAAACATTACATGGAAAAAATGTATAGTTATTTTTCTAGTACACAAAAAAATTAAGATTCAAAATTTAAGTTATTTACTTACACTGCTTGTAAACATCGTTCATAGCTGCATAATCTTTGATATCTTTAAGATACACAGTTGCTTTAACAATATTTTGAATATTGGATCCACCAGCTTCTAGTATGTTTTTAATATTTTCTAGAGCTTGTTTGGCTTCAGGTCCCACTCCTCCGTCTACTAATTTATTTGTGTCTCGGTTCACTCCCAGCGAACCTGATAGGTAGATTAGGTTATTGAAAGAAACTGCTTGGCTAAAAAGAACGAGAAATATTATGGTAGTGCCATAGCTATAGAAATATAGTCCCTATGCACATGGAATATGATCAAAAGGGAACCGACACTTGGTTAAAATAATATCATTGTTTTCTTCACTATTTTTCACTTTTTTTTTTTTCAGAAACTACATATGTTGACGGTTCTCTCATAATAAGAACCGGCCCCAGCTCATTGATATTTAGAAAGATTAAGGATTATAGACTAGCAAGTTTTGAAAAAATATATAATTTACAATATCAAATTAAAAATAAATTATAAACAGTTACACTGTGTGTTGCAAAAAGGCAAAAATTTTTTCAAATTGTTCGTGTTTCTGGTTTCCTATCTTCTGGCTTTATCACTACATTCGAAATTGTTTTGAGAAATCTCAGTTCCTTTGTTTTGCTGATGATTTAAAATTTTCCATGCGTTTTAATTCCCTAAACCTTTGATACATGATTATATTTGCCTTCAAAAAGACTTCGTGCAAAGCTGTATTTCGGATTGTCTAAAAAGGACTACATACATCTAATTTTCAGAATTTGATGTGTTTAATGATTCTTTATTGTTTATATTCTTTCTATATCTATGATTGTTCCTTATACTCGGACAAAATATTGGAGAAGGTGAGTCATATGCATGATCAACACTGTTGTCTATGAATGAAAATTCCGACAGAGTTAGCATAGGCGGCGTATCAAATAATTATTTATTAGGTATTTGTTAGTAAACTTTATTAAATTTGTTTGTCAACATCTTTATTTAAACAAAGATGATGCGTTAAATATACGTTTTTGATAGTTTTTAAGAAATTAATATATTTGTTCCCTAATGACTTCGTTATCTGTGTTACAGACGGGTTACAGATTGAATATTGTCAGCACAGGCATAAAGACAGTTGAAAACTAACTTCCGACGAAGTTAGATTTATATTGCTTTAACTATTTACGATAATTATTTAATATTTTATAAACCCTTTTTTGTATAAGTGCTCTTTTCTGATATACGAGTAGGTGTTCATGTTTGTGCCTTACAATTTGGTAGTGGTAGTGCATATTCGAGGAGTTATATTTATTGTGTAGTATATTAGGTAGGTACTTTAAAAGTTTATTAAATAGTAAAATATTGGTGTCTTTATAAATTTAATAGAAACAATTTAATAGTAGAATTATATTGTTACAATAGTAATGGATTCAGAGGCGGGTCCAAGTGAAACCCCATTACGTCGGCGAAAGCCCTTATCAAAGAATGAACAGAACATTATATGGAAATTGTATGATGGGCTGAAACAGACACTTCCTACAAATGAAGCTGTAAACCGCAGTTCTTTTTTAACTGGAGTATCTGTTTCAACAATTGAACGTATTGTACGCGAAAAGACAAAAAAGGCTCCTTAGAAGCTCCTTAAACGCATACCCGTGGTCGAAAATTGTTGAAACTGGACGATAACCAAAAACAAATCATTCGAAGAACTGTACATTCTTTTTTTTTGCAAACAAAGCCCCAACACTTAAAGTTGTTCTTACGAAATTAAGAGAAAACAAAGAAATTCCATTAATGAGCCGTGAAACTTTTTATGGGGCCTAAAATTTCGTCTTGTCAAACGGTGTAGGAAATCAATTTTAATTGAGAGGTCAGATATAGAGTCCTGGCGATGGCGTTATTTACGACATATTAAAGAGTTTAGAGCCGCTAAGAAAAAGATATACTATCTCGATGAAACGTGGGTGAATGCTGGATACACGGTATCTGAGATATGGCAAGATACTTCTGTAACTAGTCATCGCCAAGCTTTTATAGAGGGATTATCTACAGGTTTGTAAGAACTATCAGGTAAAGGACAGCGCCTAATTGTTACCCATATTGGAAGTACAGTGGATTTTTGTAAAATAGCGCTCTTGTGTTTATATCGAAAAAAACAGGAGACTACCACGAGGACATGAATGCGGAATGCTTTGAAAAATGGTTTACTGAAGTATTATAGCGTATAGAACGAAATTCAGTTATTATACTAGATAACGCTTCTTATCACAGTCGACGAGTTGAACGCATTCCGATAATGTCCAATAGGAAAGCGGATATGCAAACCTCACTGCGGGATAAAGCAATTACATTTACTGAGGAGATGCTTAAAGTGGAATTAATGAACCTAATAAAGGAACACCGCCATAAATATATTCAATATGTTGTCGACACAATGGCTCGTGATCGTGGTATTACGGTATTAAGACTTCCCCCTTATCACTTCGAATTCAATCCTATTGAACTAATTTGGGCGCAAGTGAAAGGATTTGTAGCTCGAGAAAATAAAACTTTTAAAATAGCCGACGTTCAAAGTTTATTAAAAACCGGTATAGAACGTATAAAACCTGAAGATTGGCAGAATGCTATTTCCCATGTAATTAAGGAAGAAAATAATGTGTGGCGCTTGGACAGTATGATCGAAACGGTAGTTGAACCTTTAGTCATAACTTTAAGTTTCGACGATAAAGACGATTCCAGTGATAGTTCTGCAGAATCAATGGATTACAAAACTTCATAGATTTAGAATTCAAGTAAGTGATACCAAGCTTAATTTACATATTTTTATAATAAAGAAAATTCCACACCTGTAATTTTGAACCAATCAAAATACGTGTTTTTGACAGATCACCATGGCAACGGAGGTATTTTAGTGGAAATTTTTTTCTCGTGGGGTACCCAACAGCGAATTATACTGGAAATTTTTTGACGTTTACAATAACAGACCGTTTTTGACAGACTGGTTTTTATTTGTTCACATAATAGGTTTAGTTTTGATACATTTTAGTTACAATGCTAAGGTGTTTTCTATATTCTTCGGCCACTTCTTTTCTTCTTAATGGCGAAAATGCAGGACTTTGGATGCTTTGAATTATGTGTCTATCAGCCGGTTGCAAGAACGATTGTTAAAATCTCTCGTTAGCTAAAGAACAAATAACTAACTGAGATTAAAACTGGCAACGGCGCTTTTCCAACTGACAGTCTGTCGCTTCACAGCTGAGCACGGGAGATTTTTAAAATAATGAAGTTAATTTGGTAATATTTTTTCGAAAATTAATTGCAAATAAAGTAAAAAATTAAATTGAGGCTCAACCTTTACGACTATGGTTAAATGTTAACACTATCCCTATCTTTTTTCGACATCGGCTCATATTTTTTAATAGACAGAAGCAAGGACAGTCGGTTCAGAGAAAAAATGTTTTACACATGAATATAATTTCTTAAAACAAATAGAATGGCTTAAATGAAGAAAAGGTTTCAGTAAGTCACTGGAAAATACTCATTTAACTGCCCTTCTAGTAGTGCTCGATTAAAAATCTGTGATTTGTGGTTTAAAGCAACAGTATTTAAATATAGTTTGTCCCTTTTATATAAACTAAAACTATTTTTTCTTGTACTTACTTTACATTTTCTCTTCCCGTTTGTCATGGAAAAGCATATTTCTTTCTACTGTACATTATTTTTTCAAATAGAAGTACATAATTAAACATATGTTTAGTTTTTATCATATGTGCAAACCCCATTTACTGTGGTAATATTTCCAATGTATTTTCTATTTTTAACAGACTTCAAAAAAGAAGTAGGTTCTCAATTCATCGGAATATATTTTTTTATGGATATTTAGCGACAATTCTTTACTATGTTGTCCGATTTCTGATTATTTTTTTGTTAGAAAGGGGGCTCCTCAGAGATGGTTTCTTAATATAAATTTGGTAAAGATGTGATGATGGGATTCATGAGAAAATAATCACTCTTCGTATTTTGTAGTCGTCAGTTTTTTTAAATTAATTTTGTAACTTATACATTTTTCAATGAATCAAAGTAAAAAACTGTTTGAATTGGGAAATTTCTAAAGTTCAGTATCTATTTTTTAGTTAGAAATGGAAAACTGGAGGAGAGATGGTAAAATCTCTGGTATGAGAAATAAATTCACATTTGACCTATTCTTCAAAATCATATACAGTTCCTTTAATCCCTTCAATTTGGATGCTATATTTCTTTGCTAATAAACTAATGCTAGAATTTATTTTTTATTTAAGAACAACTTTCTATTTGTACAATATTGGAATTTCTAGATTGTTGAGAAAATTAAATAATTATGATATGATAATTAGCATTTATAGGTTGTGTAATAGTCGAAATATAGAATATTAAATAATTACTATGTATAAATTACACTTATTTACTTTAATATATTTGCTTTCACATTTATAATTTACAGATTTGTAGGTCATAAATAAAACACCAAATTCATTTTAAAATTTTATTTTTTAGGATTAAATTAATATACACAAAATACATAACATAATAAAAAAATATAATAAATCTACAATAAATAAAAATACATTTAATTTGCCCATCATTATTAAGAATTCTAATTCTAGAAAATAAACATTCAATTCAGGATTTCTTTTTGGTTATGACCGGTTTCAAGTTGACTAGTAATTTTGTGTTAAAATTTACAGTTTGCCTAACGTATTGGATATGTCTACTTAGCCAGTTCCACATATTTAATAAATGTATAAAAAGAAATGGATTATTTCAACATAGGTACAAACAATAAAAATGTTATTACTGATAGTAGTTTACTGCTAAATATTTACTTTTTCTGAAAATAGGCAGGAAAAAACTATAAAATAATATTAAATATGGTTGAGAATGTATAAATACATAACATTTATACGAATTAAAAAGTGTTTAACAATATAAGTAGAGATGCCAAGCTCCACAGTTATATGACTTAAAATTATTCATGCTATCATCTCATGAAATATTTTAAAATACTTAGCAAACACCTATATTACTACAAAGTAATGCCTATTTAAAAATAAAATTATATTGCTACAAGGCTATACCCCCGTCATAAGCCAAACCCCCATAACTGACAAATTACAAATATTTGAGGTTATTTGACCATTCTGATACTAACCCATTTTTCTTTTTAAAAAGTAAACAAAATACCAGCAATTTTTAT